TTTTTTTCACTGGCTTCTTAGCTCTATAAAGCTGGTCACCACCTACAGAACCCTCACAAAACTCGTCATTGTTTAGCTGAGATCCTCCACGGATGGATGGTTCTATTCTCACCTCTTGGTTACAGCAGTACAACTGACATAGCTACATACCCCAAGGTAAAAACTTCATTTCACATCTTAGGAAGGATCTCACTTCTCTGGATATTCCCATCATAGAATGTGTGTGTGTGCAAGAGAGCAGGCACATCCCAAGGAGATTCAGTGCAGACTTTACAGATGGGACTGGAACACAGCTCTGTCCCCAGTGATACATTAATCAGCTTAACAGGTTTTTCTATGCAAATCTTGACTGCCCTGGGTCCATCAGGACCTGCAGCAAGCAGCAGCCATCCCCAGCCTTGTGCGTTCCATCAGCATGATCATCTGTGGCATGTGTCCAGAGCTGTGCAGGTGTTCAACACAAATGCTTGAAGATTGTTATTTGTCATCTGCCTCCTGTACCAGCACTACCAAATACCAGTCATTCCATGGACTTTTCAAGCTGATCATTCTGTAAATGTCATACTGAAAGCCTGATCAGTAAGAACATATATGAAGGGATTGCCCAGTAGCTGTCCAGTAAAGGTACTCAACAACAAATAAACCATTAAAAGGTAGCAACAGTTGAACATTATCTCACTAGATTCACAATAACCTTGATCCAATTTCCCTATATTTGACTGCTTGCAAAATAAAATACAATGTATAAATTATGAAATGGCCCACTGCAGAGTCATCGGTTCTATGGTCCAGAAAATAAACTTTTATGTTTAACGTTTTTGATGTAAAATTGATGCCTACAACTAAGGTTCAAGCTCTGGTCCTAAGAAGTATCTAAGCACTAGCTTAATTCCAGTACATGGGTGGACCAGTGTCCTTGCAATGACCGCATAGAACAGCACATGTTCGACAGCTTTCCTGATTATGGTTTAGAGCGAAGTCTCTACAGAGAGGACAAGCTGTTACTGGACAAGAAAAGAGTCTTCCTTTTAGAGGCAAGTTCTCATGAGCATTATATTTCCCCTTCCAATTCCTTGCCAGGAAAATAACATACTGCAGAAATCCGGTATAGGATACAATTTTCAGAGCCAAGAGCCTGCAAAGACACCTGAAGTTTTATTACTAAAGAAATGCTTGTTCCCAGTGAAAGCCTGAGAGCTACTGGGCTCTTTCCACTTAGGATCAGTGAACCTTAAGATTAGATCTTAATATTTTGGGAGGGGGGGTTAAGTGATTTATCTATTCAGAAGTTTCACAGAATACTAAAACGTAACTATTTCTTTGCCCTCTGAAAGTAAGGCAATCTAGAGGCATGAGGAAAGTAACTCTGCTTTTAGAAGAGGACTTCAAGTCTTGTTTAAAGTGCTCTTTGTCCGGTCTGTTAAGATATTTCATATGTGACACAAGCAAGTGCTGATTCTTGAAGGAAGAGTATATCAAATTCAGTGCAGAGAGGCTGTGTCGAGGAAATTCATCTAATGCTCAATGCAGAGCATTTGGATTAGGACACTGGGTTAATTTGCTAGCATTTTTTCCTATAAATGTGGGATATTTTCTGAATCTCTTTTTTCTTAGTATGTGTTTTTAAACAGCAGGTAACAACATCGATCCTCCCCTAGGCACAACACCTGTGTGTGTTCAAAAGTTCTCTGAAATCATTAAGTGAAGGATATCATAAAAAGTACTTCTACCATAAATAGATGCTAATAAAGGTCTTTTATAAACCCCTTTGCCATCCAGCAGAAGTAATGAGAAGCTGGACAGAGGTGAATGTAACTTTGAAGAGGATAATGCCAAAGTCTGTTTCTCTCCTTCCACTATGATTAAAGCACCTTATACCAGTGCCTAAACTTCAGTATAAAATTGATCTCACCGTTTGGCAAAATCAGCCAGTTTGATAAGAAACAAAATAAAAAACTACATGGGAAACATGTAAAAGCTTTGTGAGTCCTGAAAGCTGACAGGAGTGAACAAAAACCCCTGCTGACCCAATGCTACATCAAAGCTTGACTTTAAGTGGGCAAAACTCTGTGTAAGGTTTATGAAGTGAGGTATTAATGAGCTGTAGTTAAGTCCTCTGTCACAATGTATTGTGCTTACAGGAAGGAGGAAATGAGGAATTCTGTATAAATTCCAAACTTCAAACAACGGGATGTTTGCTACCCCAAAGCCACTAGGTCACAATAACAGATATCCCACCTCCTTGTTATCTGTCACCCAGATCCAAACTAGTGTGGCTTTCTAGCTAAGTGTCAGAGCTCTACCAGGAGAATGTCATAATCTGTGTCCTTTGAAAGTGCTGCTGAAAGGCTGTATGACTTCTAAAAGGAACCAATCAAGTAAGCCAGCACACAAACCCCGATGAAAGCACAGTGTATGGTGCTTTTGCTCGTTCTTTGCTATGTCAATCTTTTCTCAACCTTTTTAGTTCGTTCCTGTTAAAAATATGAGGTGTTTTTTACCTGAAACACACTGGTTTTCTTGTGATGAAAGAGAACAGAGAGACTTTCATATAATACCTGGCCTTCCCTTTCAAAACCAGGTAAATGGGATATTCTGGATTCTAGTCATATGCAGAAAAATCGGTCAGGCTTTCATGGCAGGGCAACTGAGAAGCTGCAGGTTTCATGAAAGGAATTAGAGATGAAAGTTTTGTGCTGATGATTTCTAAAAGGTCCCCAAGTCTTCTAATGGTAGGTGTTTTTTTGTATCCCTGATGCATTGAAACTCTTGCTATTGCTTTTAGTTGGTGAGGGTTTAAGTTCAAGGAACATATTTTTACAAAAGACTATATTAATGGAAGGAATTTAAGACACTGTCATCCCCACCTGCTCTGCCCCTTCTTGTTGCTGGAGGTTATAGAGGAAAGAGTATGTGCCTAAAACCACTTGCAAGACATAATCCACCTCAAACCCAACTCCAGCACTGGTGAAAGGTGAGATGCTAGATCATCAGCTGAAGATGCTGAACTACAAACACATACTGCATTCTGCCAAGCCTTTGACTGGAGCCGTAACTTTTAACAGAGAATCTTGGCAGGCAGCTTGGGAACAGATCTTACACAGAGGCATGCACGCAATTCAGCTTTGAATCTGAGGTTCAGGCAAGGTCAGAGGATCCCTGCATATTTGTGTCTTACTGAAGCCATCTGGTTTTGCCTAATTTTTGGCTGAGGCTATTTTAAGCATTTTGGTCTGTAGTCAATGTCTCACAGATCCAGGCTTTGGTCGAGAATATGTCTTGAAACCTAAAGATCCAAAGAGGTTTTATTTTGGAGAAGGAACAGGTTATTGGTATGACTTCAGACTGCTTGCAATTAGCATGTGCTTATAAGCCCTGAGTTTTGAATAACGTAACGAATCCTCAGACCCTGTGAGTTTTCTTTATGCTGGAAAAGGCTTTCAGTGGGAAACTCTGGCTCAGTACAGAGGTGCTAAGCCTGAGGCTCAGCAGCAGGAAAGTATTTGAGCAGATTTCCTGATTGCTAGAGCTGATTTCTGATAGTTTGTTCCAAACCACTGAATGCAATGGGGATTTCTCATGCCTCTTTCCACTGGGATATATTTATTTTTCCATAATACATTGTTGGTTGCAATTGGATTCTTACAATTTCCTGTCTCACCACTGCAGTTGCTTGCAAGTGACCAATTAATTTTTCCAGACTTAGCAGCATAGAGGCTGGCTCTGCATTTTGCTCACTAGATTTCCATTTTCCTAATAAGAAATTAGGAGTAGCTATCTTGCAATAAGCCACTGAGTTCAATTCAGTGCACATCAAGATCAGTGCAAAGCCTGTCACTGGCTTCTGTGAGCTCTGGATCTGATACAGACCAAAGGCAGACTTCACTGAAGGAGCAAGAATGTACTAATACATTGTCCTCCACAAGGACTGCCCTGAGAAAAAGGCAGGGAAATCTGTGAATTGGAGGTGTCTCTAGTCTTCTCAGCAATATCAACAGAAATGTGGTACCCCAAGAACTCACATCAATGCTGAGGGAAGGGATGGAATTAAGATAAAGAACCAGTATGGAGATGCTTGGTCCTCCTGCCCCTACTGCCTCTTGGGAAGACGAAAGATGTGATGGAAGTAAATCATGCATCTAAAAGAGCCTCCACCCATGCAGCTGAACTTAGTATCTGACACATCCTGACCCTTCCCTCAGGAAGAGCATCAGCTGCCAGCCTGGCCTGTTGGGACTCGAGCACAGGCAAAGTAGGCAGTGGGGCCACAGACATTTTATCATTCTTGGCAGTGTGTTGATTTAGACAATTGCCTGTTTTGCTTAAGTTTTGGACTGTCTCAGTTCCTTCTGAACAAAAAGCAACAACTCTGGGACTGGCTGGATATTCCTGAACTCCAGTATACTCTGGCCTTTTCATAGAGCAACCAGAGAAAGCAGTATTTTAAGGAAACTGGTTCATCCTGGTAGGTGCGAAGGACATTTAGGTAAAGGTGTTACAGACCTTACCAGTACCAACGGAAACCATCCCCCGAATTGCCATTTGGATGTAAGGTTTGAGTTAAAGCTGAGGCTTGAAGCTTTAGGTATTTTATGTAAACTACTGAAGTACCAGCCTATTGGTCAAGAAAAGGTTTTAAATCAGTACGTGGGTGAGCTTCCCAAACACTAAACCTTTCTCTGAATTCAACTAACCTTCCAGTAACAATGCAAGGACAGCTTCATGTCCTTGATTTGCTTCCAGAGACAATGCTAGTGACCAGCATCCTCCTTAAACCTCTCATTGTATCAGAGGAAATCTAGTGTCCAAATAAAGAGGCTGATATTCTCTCTATTTTATTTGCAACCAAAATACACCTGTCTAGACTTGAATGTTGCAAATATCCTGCTTTTTCTACTGTTAACAGGTTAACTGTAGTTAACCACATGCAGGTCTTCTGGGGTTTGAAATGTGCATTTGACAGTTTGGTTTTGTCTGTCTTTACTGGAACAACTCGTTAGATCTGGTGCTCAGAATAAGGAAAGTGGCACAGCAGATAGGATGGAAAGTCTTACCACAGTGGGATGGAGAGACTGAAATGACAGTGACAGGAGATAACGTACCAGGAAAATAAGAAGAAAAGGAGTAACAGCAGATTCTCAGCACACTGCCAAAGGCCTGGAGCTTGGGAAAGGTCAGAGCATTATCTGCGCTATGGGTTCATGATTTGGGATAAGGACAAGCAATTGCTGTAGAACTCAAAATACAAGAGCAGCTGGTTACTGACATGGCATCTGCCTTCATGGGGACAGCAGTGAGACCCATCAGAAAATGAAGAGGAAAAGTATTCTAGCTCAGTCACAAAGAAGTGCATCAGATATAACAACTACTGAGAGAGAGCTTTTCAGCTTCCTCCCTAATGGACACAGCTTCTGGAATGCACAGACAAAATTGCTCATGAGGCACTCAATTCTAGTTAACAAACCCAAACCACAGCAGTTAGCCACAAATCATAATAAAATGTTACATAGGTCTTAGGTGTTAACTCTGTCAAACCGTAGCTGACATCAATTCCCAAATTCAGGCAATTACCCCAGAGGACACATTTGTCTGAACCATTAACTTCCCGAAACAGATTCTCTTGGGCATTTGCTCAAAAACCTTAAAGAATATTCAAACACAGCAAAGATCATAATGGTAAACCAGCTTCTGCACCCACTAGTAATGTTCAACATCTTTCACAACAGGCCTTTGGTATACTTACATTAATATATATGAAAGTACTGGAGAAGTTAGATCTATTTCCTAGGGATTCTCCACTGCATTTATACTTTCCCACCTTGCAATCACACAGCCTATCAAAAATCAAAGTAAATGTTACATTTAAATAGCCTGCGATGTAGCTATCCAAAGCAACTGCACAGCTATGTGATGCACTGCTTATCTAATTGAAACACTTTTCCTGTGTATCAGTCAGGAAAAACAGACGTGATTAAAACAATAAACTGTTACCATGTTTCCAAGAATAACTGAAATGGTAGAACTTTATGCATAAAAGAGCAGGTGGACTGCAAGATTAAGGGGTGTTTGCATATCATTTGGCTAATTGACCTCACTCTTTCAATCATATCTCATTTTATTGCAGCTCCCACTTTAGGCAAGTACTCTTGTAAGTGCTTTGAATTCTATCTCTGCTGTACCAACCCTGAGTTTACACTACAACTCACAAAACATGCTTCTGGTGTATAGCACTTTCCATCATGTCAAAAATAGGAGTGGTGAAAGGTGTAATAACCAGCTTCACACCCTGGCAGAAAGCAAGGGAGGGTTATACAGCTAGATTCTGCCACTTGTTGTAGGTGCAATTCACACTCACTGGGAAATGTTTCAGAACACTGGTGACCTTTGGGCTCAGCCCTAACATGAGCTGGATTTTCCTCATGATGCTGCCAGGTTACCCTGCATGAAGCGCCGTGTCCTATTCTTTACTGTAAAGGGTATTCTGCTTTTGGGTGCAAGGCTGTTACAAATGAGCCCAAGGCACAGGCTCAGCACCGAGCCAGGAGTCGGGATTCTGAATTTCTGTTCCCAGTGTTGTCACATTCTAAACACATTGCCTTAACTGAATGACCTAATCTGTTTATTCAGCTGCAAAATTGAGATAAAAACTGCTTTATAAGTCCCCACAGGGGAAAATTAAGTAATGTTTTCTGAAGTAGTTGGAGACCCTCACATGGAAGATTCCCTAGAAACTGTGTCAGAGCAGGTGGGAAATCCCTTAGAAAAGTAGCAAATTAAAACACAATGATCCTAAATTAAAAATGGCACACAATAAAGCCACTTGGTAACGTTGATGGGGACAAAACCTGAACAGTTTGCAGACCTAATATTTACAAATCTAGACTTCCTAACACAATGAGAGGAAAGGAAATCCTTTCTGATGTAGTCTCTGTCAAACTACGAAGAAATGCTTTTAACCTACTGTCTCTGAACTCATTAGTGCCAGAACATTTATAGGCAGTAATTGCCAGTAAGCTGCTAATGCCCTTAAACAAAGTCTGTGTTACAGGAGGTGGAAGGGCAGAGTAGCTGGCACATAGAGCTCAGACAATTTTTCGTGGTTCTTAAAACAAACAATCCACCCTGCTGAAGCAATCAGATTGCTTTAAAGGGTTTTAGAGTTTGTTGTGAGAGGCTTTATAGATATTTGCTGGGGTTATACCAAAACCAGTGTAATATTTTATAACTCATGGCAAATATGCTCAGCTAAGAGGGGAAGTGTTGTTCTTGAGCAGTTTGAGTAACACAGCATAGCATCCTATTCCCTAAGAGGGCATGTTCAGCTCTGGATTCAGACCAGATGTATGGCCTAACTACATGTCACATACAGTACAGATGGGGTGCTGAAGTAGATGTTACAAATATTAATCTCACTGCATTAAATATGATTGGTTTATGAGAAAGCATGAAAGTGGTGTACAATTTATCAGCACCTGTGGTTTTGTAGCTGCATTTCAGATGTTCCTGTGTGACCTGCATCTCTGTTTTATGGCACATATCTTCTAAACTAGTCAGTCACAATTTTACCCCTAATCTCTATACAAACACTTCCTTTATGTGTTTAATTTTTCACTAGCTTACTTACCATTATTAGCTTTTCTGATTTCACTATAAACTGTTTCAGTCCCCTTCTGTACAGGAGCTGGAAAATGTATTGGCACAGAATCAATTTATTTTCCTTTTTTTATCCTTTTTTAACTTTCTTTTTTTGTTTGCCTTATGAAAATCTCCTTACACAAACAGAACAAACTGGTTTACTTTCAGAGGAAGTAGTTACACAAGCAGCAACAAGCCTGTGGAGTCTGTATTAAAAAGCAACCACACCCCCTCCCCAAACCCAGCCTGTAAGGTTCTGAGAGGGAGATGTCTCTCCCTCTGCATAAAAATGATGATGAAAATTGGCTTCCTTTTCTACATTTGGCTTTAACATTCTAATAATCTTCTCAAATTGATACTACCTTAATTTTACTGAGGCATCTGCCACTAGAGAAGAGCTCCTCTGGATCACTTGGAAGACCTTTGTTTTGATCTAGGGATTTAGGGACCCTATACCTGAGGAGATCTATCATTTGAAAGACTAACTGTATACACTTTTGACAACTAGCCTGGGCACACACACACACAAAAGTCTAATTTGCTGTTCTCTGTGAAGTGTGTCAGAAGAATGTTTGCAGATTTCAGACTGCACAGCTTCTGTTTAGGTGCTATCTGGGAAAGGTCTCCTCTCAGTTCCTCAGTGTGGTGGACTATTCCTTTAGTGCACAGGGATCAAGTGGACATAGCAAGACTGAAGGCTAAGAAGGCTTTTGGAAAAACAGAAAGATAGAAAATAAGGAGAAAAAGCAGACAGGGAGGATTTGTACCTCCAAGGACACAGCTGAGATACAAATGTAATGTTAGTGCCAGACACTCCTTTTCAGTCCCTTAGGTTTACAAATAGACCCCTGTAAACCTCCGCTTTTGTATGAGACAGAAAGCCAAAAGCTCTTCCCTTTTTGCTAAGTTTTAATTTCAAACTGCAGGCACTTACCCCAGCAGGGAAGGCACAGAGCTGTTTCTAAAGGCCTGGAAATAGCAAGAACTCAGTTTATCTATGTCAGTGTAAACACAGTCTGGCTAGTATGAGATTAAAACAATTTCCTTGATTTCTTGCATGTTTCCAGATACAGAATCCCTGGGCAACCATTGCAAAGCAAAGTGCTATAGAACTCTGTGCATTTAAAATCATTTTCTCCATTTGGTATAAAGCCTGTGCAGGCAGGGTCTAGGAGCTTGCTGTTCAAGGATCTCAAAGCAGTTTAGCAATATTCACTCATTTCAGTTAAACTGAGTATCTTAGACAACCTCAGAATTCTATCAACATCACCTCCAATTTCCGTGGCTCTTCAATAAACCAAGAGGTGAGATTTTTCTAGTTAAACGTGAGAACTAGAAAAACTGCAAGAAACTGGAAAGAAAATTCACATTTCTGGAGACAGAGCCCTGTACTTTAGCTATTAAAAAAAACATTTAAACAATTCAGACAAACTGATCTGCAGCCAGTCCCAGAATCAGGACTGTTACTGCTCTGCATCTCGCTGAAGAACCCAACATTCTGATTTCCCAAAGCTAATTCCGTTTGTTTTAATTCCGTTAAGCATCCTTTAAATGCTGGGAGCTCACACATCAGAATTGAGTTGCAAACCTGTGATTAATTTCAGTGACAGCAGCAGTTACACTTCACTGAGTGCCTAATCACAGCTCCCAAACTCACAGTTTTGGCGCTTTCTTTGCAGATTAGTCTGAAGAACTTGCAGCACGTTTCATGTGCTTATGGGCTATTCCTTAAGTCATCAATTCACTTCCCAGTGAAGTAAGAAGAAATCTTCTGAGAATGTTAACAGCTCCTTTTGTTTGGAATACATTTGTTAGCAGATGACAGTCCTAAATCTGCTCCTATTGGCTCTGTGGGAAGCAGTAGGAGGCATTTCCCCTCAGCTTGCCTGTTTGTTTTTTTCCAGACCATTTCATTAAGTTGTGATAAAATGCCATTGCCCACCGTATTTTCTTTGTTAATTTTCCACAGGGTGTCTCAGCACCGAAAAAAATGTGCTTGGAGAAATTACTTGGATGATTTGACATTTTGTTTCCACTAACTTTACAGTGTTGCCACCCTGCAGATAAGTAACCAGCCATAAAAGTAAAAGAAGGAGCATGTTCTTACTCAACCCCGATTAGCAGTTTCTCCCTTCTCACTTCAGGGATATTTCCTGATCTTACTTTAGCACTGGCCTTTGGTTTTGCTTGGATTAACAATAAAGGGTCTAAATCACTTTTTGCACAGCTACGTTTTAGAAAAGATAAGCATTATGTTTTTGGCTAGCATATAATCTCCTGAAGTATTCAATTGAACCATTCTCTAGAATTGCCACTCTTCTAAATATCAAGCTAACATTCCACTATGACTACCCTAAATAAGAGTGGCCCTGGCCTGAGTGGCCCAGATCTACCTTGGATTTGTGTGGCATCTTCACCCATACTTCGAACAATAGGTATCAAGTTATTCCCAGTGAAACAGTGAAACTTTGCTTCTATCAAGCTTACCACTCACTATCAATACCACTGTAAGGAGCCCAGACAGTGAAGAAGCATAGTATATATAAAGTTCTTGATGCAATAACCTATTCACCATTACACTGTCTTAAAAAGTACTTCAGAAATGAGCAGGTAATGCAGACACGGCTGGAAAATCAGGGTGAAAACACTGTTTTCAAATGTAAGTAGTTCTTTACTGTCAAAATCAAGATGTTCACCCTTCTGCAATTATCGCAAACTTGTTTTGAGGTGACATTCAATTATTCCTGATTCCCAAAAGTGACATAAAGGCTACGGTAATAGCTTAGATACTGCAGCATTTATTGCAGGAGTCTTTCACAACACACAAAATAGGACTCCTGAGATGAACATTTGTATTAACATTGACAACAGTGGCAGGAGGAGCAAATGATTGGGAAGATAAATTAAGTTAGTCCTGAGAAATCAAAGGAATCTGGAGTTCCTCAAAAGGCAGAAGGAATCAGAATGTACGTGCAGCCTGCTAGGGGAGAGATGAATGCTTAGAGAAAAGGTAAGCATGATATAATTCGTCTTCATTCAGAAAATAAGTGCAATCTAAAGAGGTGTGAGAGGGTGACGATCTGAAAGGCCTGTTCCCTAAGAAGGGTTGGTCATAACCCACAGACAGACATGAAAGATTATGATTATTCTAAACAAAGCTTGTACAGTCACATCAATGTGGCAGCAGGACTGGTGGCAGTCCTATGGCTGAATTATTTTTCTGGGTACACACGATTATTACACAGGTATATAAAGGAACTTGGCTTTGCTTCTCTTTTCTCAAGACTAAATCTCATCCTGTTCTCATTGTGATAGGCAGGGCAGAGCTGAAAGAATTAATCTTGTAAATTGGTCTCATACAACTCCTGTCATTTAAACAGCACCCTCAAGATGCTCTGAGAGATTAACACATGCAGTTGCTATTTACATATCCAAAGCATGCATCTGCCAAGCATTCACTTGTGTCCTGGGTGCCACAAAGGAATAGATTAGGGAGCTATCATATCTCAATATACTTGAGTCTTACAGAATCAATTAATGTTCTGTGTCAGACATAGGTCTGTAACATGAGGCAGCATTCAGTTAAAATAAACTGATCTCATTTACACACTGTCTAATAAACATTATTTTGCATCTTAATGGGGCTCAATCTACATAGCATGGATACTACCTTATTAGGCTGGTATAGTGGAATGGTGTTACATATCAGCGATGGGATGAAAAGGCTATTTTTAGAGATGCTGATCTTGTATTTTATAGGGCTTTTAATTTAAATAATCATGGAGTAGCGTATCTTTACCGTTCTACACCACTGTATTGTATAGTGCCTCCTCAGAAACAGCTGGAACAATTCAGTATTAGCCCTGTTCTGAAAAAGAGTACGACAACTATAGCATCTCAGTGCAGAATTTAGCAGAGGTGGAAAAATAGCATGCTCAGAACACAAGGAAAACTCTGTGATGAATGATAGCAGCGAGTAAAAACAGAGAAAGAATAGGACTGGCAGTTTCGCAGA